TTCTTCGTCTTTCAGAATTTGAGATCGAAGTGAAGAGTGAAATGTTTTCAGTGTCTAGGGGTTTTTCGTTAAAAGATGGGCCTTTATAATCTGTTTTTTTTTCCCGGGCTCATAACAGCCCAACTTAACTAATTAGATGACGTAAATGTTCTTGGTTAAATATTCTCTCTCAAAAGACTTGAATTTATAGTAGTTTTTGGGTGAAATTTTCAAGGGGTTTTTGGGTGAAATTTATACTAATAAATTTCAAAATATCATCAAACCCGGTTGAATCCGATCGAACCACATTAACCTTTCTCCGATTCGGTTGCCGGTGCGGTTTCAAAAACAATGCAGAAAATCATTAAAATACTGTATTTAAGAAACTCATTAAATCTTGCGGTTAGAGATGGGCATCTCCAACCCCACTCCAAAATGAGTTTTGGAGTAAAATTATTTCCAACTCCACTCCAAATCTCACTCCAAAATGAAGTAAAAGGTAGGTTTACTCCAAATATGGAATAATCTCATTTATCACTCCATTTTTTTGTTATTCACTCTATTTTTTACTCTAAAATGAAGTAGAATTAGAGTAAAACACAACTCTATTTTAGTGTAACTCTATTTTAGAAAAAAAAAAAATAGGGTTTTGGGTTGAAGATGATCTTACAATCTCTAAACTCCTCCATTAGGACACTATTGACTATTCCATTAAAATTCATTAAAGAAGAAATATGCAGCGTTGACACTATTTAAAGGAGTATTAATGAGGCACATGGTGGTAGCTAGCTAGTAGCTACTTAATTTTGTTTTCCTAACAAATTACCAACATCTACATATCTTTTTCTCCTGGTGAACTAATTATATCTAATTATGAAATCATGAACGCCACATTCTATGTTATGCTACTATAATAAATATCGTGATTGTTGACGAAAAAGGAGAACAAGATCCTGATTATGACAGTGATTGAGAGCTAGTGAAGTCTATTATATATAGAAATGGAATTTGAAAATACGTATTTTCTAATCGAATAAACATTAACCAAATTACATGGAACTAATCAATTGTTTAAATAATTCCACGTTTGGTGTAATTACTATTTACTTCTTTAGGTTCTCTCCAATATAATTCAAACCCACCAAATCTACTTGTATATAATATAAATATAAGTACGTTACACATAGATACACAATTACTCTCTCTATATCATTTTAAAATTTTTAAAATTTCTACACACAAATTAAAAAATTGTTGAATTTTCTATTTTTCAACATAAAACCACCAATTCCAATACAATTTWACCAATAGAAAARTAATCTGCAYAATTTAAAGAGTCAAAAACAACAAAAACATAATTAATTTTACTTTGAAAACCTAAAATATCATCTAATTTGAGACAAAAAAATCTCTCTAAAAAATTATTTAATGAGGGAATATTATATTACAATAGAGATAGCAAACAAGAAAAAGATAGGCTCCCATTAATGGCGCAATTAAAAACCGGTCAGAAAATACACCAATTGTGAGACTCAAGAAGTTATTGCTCAACGACTTCCTCTAACTCATAACCACAATCTCCAAACTTTACCACCGATCCGCATAGACTTTTATTAACCTCATTACATTTATTTATCTATCCAATCTTCAAATAAAGACACTCAACACTCTCTTCTTCTCAAATCCTCCAACCAAATTTCTTCTTCATAAAAAAAAAAGGGTAGCTCGTCATTTTATTAACACAAATGGCTGCATCAGCGGATCATGTGGTGGTGGTGGAAGAAGGACGGCCAGCTACGGCGGATCAACCATCGGCCGGACCGGTTTATCGATGTAAATACGCTAAAGATGGTCTCCTTGATCTCCCTAGTGATCTTGAATCTCCTTGGCAATTCTTTAGGTAAGGATCTTGAAACCCTTCACAAATGTTATTTTCTTAAGAATGCTGATAAATTTTTGTTAACTAATAGAAATTCTAGTATAAGATATGCTTTTTGTTTTTTTTGGGTATAGAAAGACTTGTTTGTCACACTTCTCTTTGTGTGTTCTGTTTTTTTCAGTGAGGCTACGAAGAAATATCCAAATGAGCAAATGTTAGGCCGACGCTTAACGACTGATTCTAAGGTAAAAATATTATACAATTTAGTCTTTAGCTAGTTTTTTGTGGACCACTTTCATTTCAACTTTGTTTTCTTTTGGTCAACAGTTTCATATAGTTTTAATTTAAATTATATTTTGTATATACAGGTTGGTCCATACACATGGATCACATATAAGGAAGCCCACGATGCTTCAATTCGGATTGGATCAGCAATTAGAAGCCAAGGCGTTGAAACGGTACAATTCTAATGTTTTGATCCAATCATGTATTTAATTGAATGTCATAGGCCAAAAATTGTTTCTAAAAATAAATAATTGTTCTTTTTGGAGTAGGGACATTGTTGTGGAATATATGGATCTAATTGTCCAGAATGGATTATCGCCATGGAGGTATATAACAAAAAATTTGGCCTGTAAATCAGAATTATTGTAAATTCCTTTTTGTTTGAGGATTTTCTTTTTGTAACAATTGTATCGCAGGCCTGCATGAGCCAAGCGATAACCTACGTACCACTATACGATACTTTAGGTAATCTAATCGGAGATTAATTATTACTTTTTTTTTTTTTTGAAAACAAGAGATTAATTATTACTTACAAGAACTTATCCTAAATTTTGGACTTTTCTTAATGATATTCTTTTTAATCATAAAAACCTAAATTGAGTTTTAATCTTTATTAAAACAGGCGTAAACGCTGTAGAATTCATCATCAACCATGCCGAGGTTTCGCTAGTATTCGTTCAAGAGAAGTCCGTTTCATCTGTAAGTCCATTCTACTATCGAAATCAATCATACTATAAATTCCATCTTACGTTTCTTGTCCCACAAGAAACATGTTTTTGGCTAATTTATGCTTGAAAGCTTTTGTGTAGATCTTAGCATGCCATAAGGGATGTTCTTCAAATTTGAAAAGTAAGTTATACACATTTAGATTTTTTTTTTTTTTTAAATCAATGATTAGACGAATATTTCGATTTATGAATTTTCTATTCTTTGGATTTTTTTGTTTTAGCTATTGTGAGCTTCGGGGAAGTCTCGAGTGCACAAAAGGAAGAAGCTAAGAACCAATGTGTTTCTTTATTTACATGGAATGAGTTCTCACTAATGGTTAGTGTTCATAACTTTTTTGAAGAAAAACCTTCCATAATCTTGAACTTAAAGAGTTTAGTTCAAGATTCAAGATTTTTTTTTTTGTGAGCTTAATTAATTAATCTGAATTCGTTTTAATTAGGGAAACTCTGATGAAACAAAACTACCACGTAAGCAAAAGACAGACATTTGTACAATAATGTATACAAGTGGGACGACCGGAGAACCCAAAGGTGTCATCTTAAACAACGCAGCGATTATGGTCGAAATCTTATCCATTGATAAAATGCTTCAAGTAACTGATCGATCGGTAAAATCTATAAACTTTGGGGTTTTCAAATTAAGCCGATCTTATACTAATTACATAGCTCACA